CAGTAGTACAGGGTATATGACCCCAATTTGTTTAGGCTTCGTATACCTTAATAGGAAGTATAGTAGTACCGGGTACATGACCCCCAATTTTTGGGGCTCATTTGGTCTTGAGGGCTACCAGCCCTCCTGCTTGTGCGCGTATGATCGGACATAGTCTCAGAAGCCATCCAGATTTCCGGTTTGGGGTTTAGGTTCTAGGGTTTGCTCCCCAGGAATATTGTTTCTATGGGGTCGGGTAGCAACCAAGGTTTCCAAAAGACATACCCCCCACGAAAACCCAGTTGTATCTACTTGAGGATGCCTAAAGGTTTCCCCATTTTCAACAAGAAGAGGTTCCCGCTTTTTTCTCTAGGTCAGGTTCCCTGAATCCTGAACCCTAAGCCCCAGACCCCGGATATTCTAAAGCAACCAGGTCATCAACCCCAAACCCTAAACCCTGAACCCTAAACCCCAGAAGGTCATGCTCTTGGTGTCATTCTTCTTTGCGTACTGCCTCTCGAACCGCTGCCGTTCCTGCGTCTACCTCTCTGAAGCAGGAGCTGCCACTGCTTTCAGGGTTTAGGGTCTAGGGTCTAGGGTTTAGGGTTTAGGGTTTAGGATCGACCTCAAGAACCCAAACCTACTTCGGGGGCTAGGGTTTAGGGTTTGGGGTTTGGGGTTTAGGGTTTAGGGTTTGGGGTTTGGGGTTTGGGGTTCAGTTTGGGGTTTAGGGTTTTTCTGTAGGTTACCCAAGCACCCAATTAGAGTTTCGGAATATGGGCCTACAAAAAGCCAGGCGCTTTGGGTTCTGAACGTAGGGTTGTGCTAAAGACGTCGTTTTAGGGGGTCAAGGTCCCCGAATAAGTTTGGGGGATCCCTTTGAACGTTTTATCGTGTGATGGGGCCACCGGCTTCCTAGAACGTGACCCTAGTTAGATTCCATACAGTGCCCTAAATCCTAAACCCTCTCTACCATATGTTTTTTTAAACCTTAATTGAATTTCAGAATAAGACCGCTTTATTTCAGAAGAAGGCCAAAATCAGGCTAAAGGCTAAAGGCTAGTTGAATTTCAGAATAAGGCCGCTTTATATTTGTTCAGAAAGTATGGCCGCTTTATTTCAGAATAAGGCCGCTTTGTTTTCAGAATAAGGCCGCTTTATATTCAGAATAAGGCCGCTTTAATTTCAGAAAAAGGCCGCTTTAGTTTCAGAATTTGGCCGCTTTGATTTCAGAATTTGGCCGCTTTGATTTCAGAATTTGGCCGCTTTCTTTTCAGAATTCGGCCGTTTTTTGCTTTCTCAATGTTATGGGATTCTCTGGGTGGGTGGGTGTTCTATCTGCGCCGTAAAAAAAGCTTTACCATGAAACTGCCGGACCCAGAGTGCTGAACCCTAACCCTAAACCCTAAACCTATAGACCCTAGACCCTAAACCCTAAACCCTAAACCCTAAACCCTAAACCCTAAACCCTAAACCCTAAACCCTAAACCCTAAACCCTAAGCCCCCCGAACCCTGAGCCAGGAATGTCCCTTCTGGTTGGTTTCCTCGGTGGAGGCCGGCATCTGCTTTGCTGAGATTCATGATCCCCATCTTCGCCCTCCCTGGATGTTTAGGGTTTTGGGTTTAGGGTTTAGGGTTCGGATTTCAGGGCTCTAAGCTTTGGGGGGTGTTGAGGTGGTGAGGGTTCAGGGGTCTAGAGTCTAGGGTTCAAGGTGCATGGGGTCGGGGTTCAGGTTTTGGGTTTAGGATTTAGCAGTTTAGGGGGTTGAGAGGTTACGGGGGGTTATGGGGTTTAGGGGTTTAGAGGTGCCGGGTTTGGACTTTAAAGTGCTACCCCCGAGGCGTACACCCTGGACCCTCCAGCCCTGGATGCAACCAAAACCTACGCACCAAACCCGAACCCTAAAACCTGAACCCTAGACCTTGAACCCTAAACCCTGAGCCGTAAACCCTAAACCTAAAAACCCTAAAACTTGAACCCTGCACCCTCAGCCTAAAACCAACACAGACCTCCAAAGCACCACCTCTGAAACCAGTGCCGCACACGGCAAACCCCACGCAGACTTCTTTGGTTTCATTCTAGTGTCTCTTTTGGGGGGGGAAGTTGGCAGTGCCCAGAAGAAAAGCAAGAAACAAAGACCCAAACCCTAAACCCGAAACCCTAAACCCTAAACCCTGAACCCTAAACCCTAAACCCTGAACCCTAGAAGGGTCGCCTGCTGCAGGCATTCTGGAGCTCCTGGTCCACGAAGACCAGAGCCTCCTGGCCCAGAGTTTAGGGTTTAGGGTTTAGGGTTTAGGGTTTAGGTATTTGAGAATATTCCTGGCGCAGCAGCAGTCCTAGTGAGGTTCAGGCCAAGAGTCATCCGCATGCGCTCCCGACCCGAAAGAACAAACCCTGAACCCTACACTAAACCCTGAACCCTAAACCCCTAACCCGAAACCTTGAATCCCGAACCTTAAACCCCAAACCCAATAGCGGCTGATTTTGGAAGGCAGCCTGCAACTCCAACCCTATATGGGGGAATGAGGTAACAGATTCCCAAAAAAGGGTAGACATAAGGGGGTACCTCTCTCCCCCATTCCCTACTAAGAGACATGTCTGTTTCTCTTCTTCTACGAGGGCTTCAAGCGTTGAGGGTTTCGGGGTTTAGGGTCTTCAAGGGTTGTAAGTTGTAAGAGAGTCGTCGAAGTCGACCCCAGACTTACCCCTGCCCTAAACACCTTGATGAACATGGAGCCCTAAAAGCGACTGCACTGTGATCTCCGGGTCACATTTAGGCTTCAGGGTTTAGGGTTGAGGGACCCCCTCACGACACTACCACGGCTTGCGGGTTGCTTTTGTTGGGGGGGGGGGGGGGGGGGGGGCCTCTGGGAATGCGCAGACTTTTGGAAAGTTGCTCTTCATCTCCTTCCACTAGCTCTTGGCCTGCTGGTGCTGACAAAGTTCCGTTGGGGTTTTTTTCAGGGTTTAGAGGGTTTAGAGTTTTTCAATTGGATGGTTTCGGCACAGTGGCACATTCTCTGGAAGCCTGCATCCTTACCATAAACCCCAAGACTCATAACCCCAAAGCCCGAAACCCTAAACCGCAATAACTGTATCTAAGGCGACCGCTTCGCGGAGAAGGAAGTCAGACAAACAGTCGTCGGCTTCTCATCCACTGCATCCCAGCTGCATTTTTTCGGCGTTCAGGGTGATCAAATTTTGGGCGGCGGGGAATCCCCAACTCAGCTGTGCCCTTTCTCCTGTCGCCCAAAGTCAAACAGAATCCCAGAAAGCTCCATACCCTTCAACCCCTTTGTTCAAACTGTGCCGACAGTGTTCTTATTTGGGGTGCATTTTATTCAGGGGGGGTTGCTGGGCACTCGAAAACTGCAAGCCTTAAACCCTAAACCCTATACCGTCAAGACCAGGGCAAATAGAAATTGTATGTGGTGTCATTATGAACTTATAAAGTTGTTTGTCTAAACAGCTGACAAGCCGAGACGGAAGGTTTTGGGAGGCTCCGAAAGGCTGCGGGAGGCCCAAAATCAGGCCCCAAAAGGTTAAAAAGACAAGTAAACCCCCTCAACTGGGGGCCTCAAAAGGCCCCACGAGGCCCCCAGAGGCCCCCACCCGGACACGAATCTATTTCAGAAGCAAAACCAAACTCCCATATTCTGAACTTTCAAAGTAATGTGTCTAAACAGCTGACAAGCCGAAACACAAAGGCTCTGAGAGGCTCCAACACCCCCACATCCCAAGGCCCCCCCCCCCCCCCCATCCTCCGGACACAAACTCCAAAGCAAAAACCAAAACCCGCTCAAAACTTTCGGTCAAACCTTTTGCTGAAACCCCGCCCAAAACTCCGGACCCAGACCCTATGCCACTATGCAATTTTCCATGAACCCAACTCCGTCAGGTGCTCTTTTGCGTACTGCTTCCGCCGATCATCTTCGACTCTGGCTTCCGCATGCGTGGCGCCTTCTTCTGGGCACGCGGCTTACTGTGGGGGGGGTGGGCGGGGGTGGGGGTTCCTAAAATAGAGGGGCCAAAGGGGGGAGGGAGGGGGGGGGGTGGGGGGGGCGGGCGGGGTTTAGGGTTTGGGGTTTGGGGTTTAGGGTTTAGGTGTAGGGTTTAGGGCTTAGGGGGGATTAGGATTGAGGGGAGCATTTTAGGGGGAGAGTTCCTCAAAAAAGGATCAGAGTACCCATATCGAGAGTTGCATCGCAAGCGCTCGGTAACCTTGTTTAGGGCTTACTTGGAGGCTCATGGGTAGTTATAAGTCAGAAGTACGGCAACTAGAATTCTAGCAGGTTGCAACCTTATTTAGGGTCCTTGTATGCCTACTCATAGCTACATGATCATGAACCTTCAAGCAGAGTTTTGGGGTTTAGGCTTGGCAGGCTACGAGGGTGTTGGTTCACCTCAACCCCCTTAACTAGCGAAGAGCTTATTGCTGGCTTTATGGCATGTCTCAACGCATACTTGCGTGGGGTTAAGGTATGCTTTGGGGCTTTACTTGAAGGTTCATGGCCAGTTATAAGTAGGGTTATGCGTATGCGAAATAAGCTTTGTACCAGTTCTATCTGTAGTTACCTTACTTATCACCCCACCCCAAACCCTGAACCCTAAACCCCACTTAAATCCACCCATGAACCTCCAAGTAGGGTCTTTCAGGTCACGGGTTCGTTTGTAGTTATGAGGTCCGACGCCCAGAGTCTCTATTCGAACTCCTACCTTCGGGGGGATGAAGCAGGGGGGAGGGGGGGGGGCTTTGGGGGGGGGGGGGGGGGGGGATATAAGGGTCTCATTTATGGTTTGGGGTTAGGGTTTAGGGTTTAGGGTCTAGAGGACTAAGGTCGAGGGCAGTGGCTACGACATGCTCCATGCATGGGCCAAGCTAAACAGACCCATTTGGGGTCTAGGGTTCAGAGACAGAACCTTTAGGGTTTGGGGTTTAGGGCTTGGGGCTTAGGGTTTAGGGTTTAGGGCCCAAACCCGAAAGATCTCCAGCCACAGGCGAACATTGACAAGATCATGGTCCTCGCTTTCTTCGGGACCTTGATGTCCTCCTTAGTTGTGGGAGTGATGTTGGCCACCGGACTTTCACAGCTGTTTTTTTTATTTATTATTATGTTTATTATTTTATTATTATTATTGTTTTTTTTTGTGGAGGTTGTGGGGGTTGCAGGCCTTTGAGGGGTTTAGGGTCGTGGGATGTAGGGTTTAGGCTTTTTAGTTGGGACGTTTTTTTTGGTTGTTTTGCTTTTTTGGGGGCCGGGGGGTGTGGTGGTGGGGGGCTGAGGTGTCTGACTTATTGGGCAATCCCGAGCCCTACATCTACGGCTACGGTGAGTATGTGATCCTCAACGCTAAGCCCGGAACATTAAACCCCCGAAGGCCCAAGTGCGCTCGACCCCTGGGTTTGGAGTCCCCCTCTGAATCCCTGAGTCGTTTTTTCAACAGGGTTTAGGGTTGGGGGGTTTTGGGTTTCTGGCTACGAGGACCCAGAGTAGATCCTGGTTCCCTGTTTTTTTTAGGGTGTAGGTCGCCTTGCAAGCCCCTTCTAAACCATAGAAGGTACCCTTGCTTATTCTTGGGTTACTCTTGGGTCTAGTGAAGTTATAGGGTGCTTAAGGGGTTGGGGGCCTTAGGGCCTTAGGGAGTTCTTGGGTCTTATACCCCCTTGAACCGCCCTTTTTTAGGAACCCTAGGACCTAGAATCTTGGGGTTTTCTTGGGCCTTTTTTTTAGGGGGAACACCTTCGGCCTTAGAGATACGATGATGAAGCCCCCAGAAGAGTTCAGAGCTTATGCTTGTTTCTATTCAATGTTCAGGGCTAGTAGGGTTTAGGGTTTAGGCTTTAGGGTTAGGGTTCGGGTTACGGGTTCCCTTGACACAAGAATCAAGCATTGATGTCGAGGCTTTAGCAGGAGCCAAAAGAGCCTAACCTGTTCCTTCCGTGGAATTAAGGTGGCGATAACAAAGCCATATTGTGTGTGTGTATATATATTTATATGGTGGTTTCGGAATTAGGGTACCTTATTGAGGTCCTTATTATCAGGGAATCCTACTACTTGGGGGTCTGTTTTACATATATGACCCAACTGATAACACTCCATAAGCCTTCAAGAAACCTAGAGTCGTGATGCGAGGAGGATTGTGTTGATAAATCTCTACTCTTCTGCTCGGGGGCTTTTGCTCGTAGAGAGGTTTTAGGCTTTGCAGTTTAGGGTTTAGGGTTAGGGTTTAGGGTTTAGCATTTAGGGTTTAGGGTGTAGGGTTTAGGGTTTAGGGCTCCTTCCCAAAGACCAGGCTGCAGCATCGGGCGTGCTGGCCTTCTACCCAGACGTGCCTTGGCAGCCTCTCCAATCACTGCACTGTTGCGCTGGAAAACCCTGGGACAGCACCGACACTAACCGAAGAGGGCTTTTAAAACCAGAAGAGGGTTTAGGGGTTTAGGGCTTAGGGCTTAGGGCTTCGGGCTTAGGGTTTAGGGTTTAGGGTTTAGGAAGATGGGGTGATAGGGTGATAGGGTGATAGGGTGATAGGGTGATAGGGTGATAGGGTGATAGGGTGATAGGGTTTAGGGTTTGGGTTTTTTCTTAAAGCCAAACAGGATGGAAGTGTTTGCAACCACTACAATGCCAGCACCCTCAATCTGAACCCCTTGACCCGAAACTCTCTCTGAGCTCGCCAACTCTTCCCCTGTCCCGAAACCCGAAGGTTTTTAACCTGCAAAAACACCCAAACCCTAAACCCTAGACCCTAAGAACCTCTGAACCTGTGTCCTCCCCCTCGCGGTTTAGGGTTTAGGGTTTAGGGTTTAGGGTTTAGGGTTTAGGGTTTAGGGTTTAGGGTTTAGGGTTTAGGGTTTAGGGTTTAGGGTTTAGGGTTTAGGGTTGGATACTCTGCTTGTCGCATTTGAATCCCACCAGGGCCAGCATTCTTCAAGTGGGCCTTTCCCACAAAATAGGGGTGCCCCTTTCATACCCCAAATAGAGATAGAATCCCCTTAATGGGACCCCCCCCAAAAAAAAGAGAGAGAGAGAGAGAGAGAGAAAAGAAAAAAGAAGGGAACTCTAAACCCAAAACCCTAAATCCTAAACCCTAAACCCTGAACCCCCAAGCAGAGCATGTAGCTCCATTTGTTCCTCGTTAGGAAACTTGGGATCCACCTTCTGTTTGTTCAAGCTACAGCCTCAACCCCCATAAACCCCTAAAGCCCTAGAGCCCTGAAGCCCTTAACCCCAAACCCCAAACCTGATATAACGCCTGAACCCTAAACCGTAAACCCTAAACCCTAAACCCGAAACCCTAAACCCGAAACCCTAAACCCTAAACCCTAAACCCTAAACCCTAAACCCTAAACCCTAAACCCTAAACCCTAAACCCTAAACCCTAAACCCTAAACCCTGTCTTGAGAGCAGAGGATTCTGGGAGCTCCTCGCGAATCTCCCTTCCGGAGGCTTCCGGCGATCAAGGGTCGTTTGAGATTTTCGGGTTTAGGGTTTAGGGTTTAGGGTTTCGGGGCAAACCCTAGGCCCTCAAGTCCCTCAACTCACTCAACCCGAAGCACTAGTCATTATCACCTCAAGCAATACACTCTAACCTCTAAGCCCTAAGCCCTATGCCCTGAACCCTAAACCCCCTAAACCACACATGCTTTTAGAGTTAGGGGTTTTGTGCTGAGGGCGCCCTGCCCTTGAACCCAAACTCGTGGCTATTATCTAAGCCCCTGAACCTTCAACCCTAAAGGAACCTAAGCCCCCTAAAGCTCTTTAACCCCCTAAACCGCCCTAAACCCCCTAAACTCTCCTCGAATCCAGATCCCAGGCACCCTGAACCGTCATCGCCGAGTCACTAGGACCCAGAGTAGGCCCGAATTCCCTTTTTGCAGGGCTTAGGTTCCCTTTCCTGCGTTACTCTTGGGCCACCCTAAACCCTAAACCCTAAACCCTAAACCCTAAACCCTAAACCCTAAACCCTAAACCCTAAACCCTAAACCCTAAACCCTAAACCCTAAACCCCTAAACCCTAAACCCCTAAACCCCTGAACCCCTAAATTCTAAACCTGTTGTTCCTGGGATACTCTTGTTGGGTCTAGGTCAAGACCTGCAGGCGTTGACCTTTGGCGCGCTAATCTCTGCGACGGATCCCGTCACCACCTTGGCAATCTTCGAGCAGCTGCATGACTCTTGGCTCTTTAGGGTTTAGGGTTCAGGGTTCAGGGTTCAGGGTTTAGGGTTTAGGGTTTAGGGTTTAGGGTTTAGGGTTTAGGGTTTAGGGTCTAGGGTTTAGGGTTTAGGGTTTAGGGTTGAGGGTTAGGGGTAGTTTCATGGTCCCTTGGTATGGGCAGTTAGCAAGCGACCCCTTTTGTACCCCTTATATACCCTATACAACCCAAGGGCCCATAGGGACCATAGTAAGGGCCCCTATAACTACCCTTAGATAAGCTCTTGGCTTAGAGTTTCGGGTCAAGTGCTGCGGGAGGTCATGTTTAATGTAAGGCTGATCGTAGTCATAGGGTCTAGGGGTATGCCTGGAGCAACCTCAATAGTTGCTGTAAGGTACGTGTCCTCTTTGGACCCCAACCCCTAAACCCTAAATACTGCGGCTGGGGCTAAGGGTTGCGAGGTTTAGTCCTAGTAAACGCGAAGCCTTTTCCTCGCCTGTTTCGAAGATGCCGAGCATGAAGCGAACTTGAGGTTTTGGCGGTTTAGGGTCTTTGGGCTTAGGGTTTAGGGTTTAGGGTCTTTGGGCTTAGTGTTTAAGATTTTTAGCCAGTAGACTCTAACCGAGCTACGGTTGTCGGTACACTACTACTTGGCAGAAGAACTCCCCAAAAATACAGGAGAGTAATCCCTGTATTGCCCTTGCAAGGAAGAATATTTCATTTGTTTGTATTTTTTTTTTGGAGCGGGGGGGGGGGGGGGGGGGGGGGGGGGGGGGGGGGAAGGGGGGTTCTTAAGCAAACCGTAGTACAGTGATTGGCCCCCTGTTTAGGGCAAGCTCGCTGCAAGCCTGGACGCAGCAAGGTTGTCGGCACATGCTGGGCCCCGGTCCTAAGCCCTAAAAAGGAACCCTAAGCCCCCAACCCTAAACCCTAAGCCCTAAGCCCTAAACCCTAAACCCTAAGCCCTAAACCCTAAACCCTAAGCCCTAAGCCCTAAGCCCTAAACCCTAAACCCCAAACCCTAAACCCTAACCCGGGGACTCCCAGGTGGACCCCCACCTCTTCAACGTCATTTTTGGCACCTCGCCGTTTGAGAAGCTCGTGGCGCCGCAGCCCTAAGCCCTAAGAACCCTAACCCTAAGAACCGGACACAAAAATCCCGAAACCTAAAAACCCTAAACCCTAAAAGACGGAACAGAACACAAACCTAAACCCTAAAAACGATAAACACCCCCAAGCCCCAAAACTTAAACCCTGAAAGCCCTCAACCCTGAAGACCCCTTTTTTGGGCTGACGTAAGCGCCAAGCACTCTTTCTCCCGGGTAGCTTAGGGTGTGTAGGGTTTAGGGTTTAGGGGTTAGGGTTTCCTGTAAACCCTAAACCCTGAACCCAAAGCCCAATTTTGTTTCCTGGTTACTCGTGGGATTCTCGGAGCTTCGCGTCTAGACCCGGACGACGTGGCAAGGCCCAGGGGCTTGGGGCTTAGGGTTTAGGGTTAAGGGTTTGGGGTTTAGGGTTTAGGGCTCGTTGCTTAGGGTTTCGAGATTTAGGGCTTAGAATCCTCGACGACGAGAGAAAGGACCGACACCCTTTCTGGCAACACACTGTGCAGAAGAAGCATCAGAAGATCCTCGACATGCCTTATACGGCTACTTCACCATGCCATGGTGAGCACATGGTGCTTTGGTCCCAGGACCCGTTGCACTTCCTGAAACGCCTAACCTGGCATCATCAATCGGGCACGAAAACCGTCAAGTGGGGCTCCGTGCCCGTGGACCTGACGTCCATTCTTGAGTGAGGGCATGCCGCTGAAAGCCTTCCATTTGCCATGATGATCAGTCCGATGCCCAGGCTGTGCACCGCGCAAACTCGAAGATCTTGTCTGGCGACTGGCATGGCTATGGTGCACGTCCGTTACAGCTGTGTTGTCCTTCAAGCCGGCTACAGGCAGAGTCCAGAGGACAGGGGTTTGAGGGTGAGAATACCTGTCAAACAGGGAGGCATGCAGACAGAACAAATAAATATTTGCCTTGCTTGAGGGTCTAACTTCATACCCCCCTTACATGGCCCCTTGTACCCCGCTTATACCCCCCCCCTTATACGCCCCCGTATACCCCCTTTATACCTCCTTTCTACCCCTCCATCCTTTAGGGGTGATCGAAGACATGAAAGAAGCTAAGGGTTGAGGGTCGAGGATTGAGGGTTTAGGGTTCCGTTCAAAGCCCCCTTGAAACCAAAAGGGTGCCCTTTTTAATTTCCTGGGTTGCTCTTGGGTCCAGTACCACTGAAGCCCGAAGCCCTGTAATCCCAGACCCTGAGCCCTAAACCCTACGGTCGCGAAAGTCTAGAAGGGGATCCCCTTGGCTACGCCGAGCTGACACCTTTTTGTGAGGGGTGTTTTCTTACACCCTAACCCTACATTCTGGATACGCAGTTCTCTTCAACAATTTCTTTGAGTGGGTGACCCAGCGTTTTCTGCTTCATCCTTCTCTTGAACCGAGTATACTGACCAGAAAGAACCGCCCCCCCCCTCCCCCGGTTTAGGGTTTAGGGTTTAGGGTTTAGGGTTTAGGGTTTAGGGCTTAGGGCTTAGGGCTTAGGGCTTAGGGCTTAGGGTTCTACACTTTACGGGTCTGGGATGTTTTCTTGTCGGTGCCTCTTGGTATCGGCCCTTGATGAACCCAGAATGGGTGGTGCCGTCGCTCTAGGACCATATAGTAACAGTCTCACCCTAAACCCTAACCCCTAAATCCTAAACCCTAAACCCTCCTTCATCACTGAAACCCCTGAAACCTACTACTTCCCATGAAACTCCTGCCTGGGGGGGGTGCTACTTGGAGGGTTCATGGGTAGCGATATGTGGGGGGGGGGGGGAGGGGTGGTAAATGTAGCTTTGAGTGGTTATAACCTGGTTTACAGTCCTTATAAGTCTACTTACAATATTTTAAGGGGCTGCGCCCATGGGCGGGCAGCGCAGGCAGAAGCGCGGGGCGAGCAGTTTCTAAGCATTTTGAGGCCCCTAAACTCCCTTAAAATCTCTAAGCGTTTGAGGCTCCTCAACCCCCTCAAAGTTTCCAAGCATTTTCAGGCCCCTAAACTCCCTTCAAATCTCTAAGCGTTTGAGGCTCCTAGACTCCCTTAAAGTTTCTAAGCACTTTATAAGGCCCCTAAACTCCCTTTTTCCTGCCCCAGGCTTAGACACGTCGCTTATGCCCGCCCTTTGGGGGGCATCATGCTCCTGATGCGCCCCCGGGGTCCCGCCCCGGGAGCCGCTGATGCTCCTGATGCGCGCCTGGGGGTCCCGGGCTGGACCCGCTGATGCTCATGATGCGCGCCCTCTGGGGGCCTCCGTGGCGACGCAAAAAACCACGAAAAAAAAACCGTTCACCGGCGGCACGCGGGGGTCGGCGGCACTGGCGTCCGGCCTAATTCTGCTTCGCAGAAGGCCAGAGGCCAGCAAGGCTATTCCCGGGACGACCCGGGCTAAAAGGTCCGCATTTGCTCGGTCCTTTGGGGACCTCGCGCTGCCTGATTTAATGGCCAGTGCCGCCGACCCCAAATTTTCCAAGGTGTGGGGGGGGGGGGGGGGGGGGGGGGGGGGGGGGGGGGGGGGGGGGGGGGGGGGGGGGGGGGGGGGGGGGGGCATGCACTGGAGCCCTTTAAAGTCAGTCATCTGATCGAGTCTAGAGAGGCAAAGGGCCATAGGCCCGTAAAACTGTGGGGCTATGACACAGGGCCAGGTCAAGGGTATGCCATGGCCAGCTGGCCAGGGGGGGGGGTTGGGGGGACGGTGATGGTGAGGGAAGTCAGGGGGCGATGGGGAGGGGGGCGGAGCGGGCGGGAAGGGCGGAGCCCTTTAAAGTCAGTCAGCTGATCGGGTCTGCCAGAGGCCCGTAAAACCAGGTGGCCATGAGCCACTGGGCATAGGGCCGGGGTGAGGGATTGGGGAGTTGGGGGGCAGTGGTGGGGGGAGTGGTCAGGGTGGGCGTGTGGATTGTGGGAAGGGGGGTGGGGGGGGGGGGGGGGGCTGGGGGTGGGGGGAGCGGGTGGCAAGTTGGGTGAAAGCGGTGAGAGGAGGGACAGAGATGGGGAAGGAGCGTGGAATGGTTGGGAAGGGGAAGGGTGGTGGAGGGCAGGGGAAGGGGTTGGTGGTGGAGGGGGGAGGGGATGAGGTAAGTGGGTGCTGGAGCCCCTTAAAGTCAGTCATTTAGGGAGGGAAAGGGCCAGAGGCCCGTAAAACTGTGGGGCCATGAGCCAGTAGTCACAGGGGAGGGGACCATCAAGGGAGGGCCAAAAAACCGGGGAGGGGGGGGGGAGTACTGCGTTGGGGGGGGGTGGGGTGGGGGGGTGGGGCGGGGTGGGGGGGGGGTGTGGAGCCCCATAAAGTCAGTCATCAGGGTAGAGGCCCGTAAAACTGTGGGGCCATGAGCCAGTTGGCACAGGGCCAGGGACCACCGGCTGCATAGGGGTTGGGTGGGGTGGGGGGTTGGGGGTGTGTGGGCGGGGATGGGGGGTGGGGGTGGAAGGGAAGGGCGGAGCAAGGAGCGGGCGGGGCATGCACTAGAGCCCCTTAAAGCCTTAAAGTCAGTCATCTGATCGAGTCCAGAGAGGCAAAGGGTTAGAGATCGGGTCTGCCAGAGGCCCGTAAAACCAGGTGGCGCCACTGGGCATAGGGCCGGGAGGGGAAAAATGGGGGGGGTGGGGGGGGGAGGGTGGGGGGATTGGGATGGGTGTGGATTGGCCCAGCAGAGTCGGGGACGGGAGCAAGGGGGAGGGGAGCGGGCTGGGAGTGGAGCGGAATGGTTGGGAAGGGGAAGGGTGGTGGGGAGCGGGGGTAGGGGAGGAGGATGGGTGTTGGGGTTGGGTGGGTGGGGGGGGTAGGGGCGGGGGTGGTGGGTGGGGGGGAAGGGGGAGCGGGCTGAGTGGGCGGAGGGGGCGGGCATGCACTGGAGCTTTAAGTCAGTCATCTTCCCTCCGTAAAACTGTGGGGCCATGAGCCAGTCGGCACAGGGTCAGGGGACCATCAAGGGCATGGAGCCATTGGCCAGCTGGCCAGGGAAAGGGTTTGGGGGGACGGTGATGGTGAGGGAAGTGAGGGGGCGATGGGGGGATTGGGGGATGGAAGGGCTGGAGTGGGGGGAGCGGTCAGGGCGGGGCCTGAAACAGCAGAGATCGGTGAGGGGCGGAGTAGTCGGGAAAGGGTAGGCGTGCATGGGGAAGGGGGTGGGGGGGGGGGGGGGGGGGCGGAGTGCGAGCGGGTGGCAAGTGGGGTGAAAGCGTGAGAGGGGGGACAGAGATGGGGAAGGGGAGCGGTCCGGCGGCGGGAGCAAGGGGGAGGGGAAGGGGATGGGGGTGGGGGAATGGTTGGGAAGGGGGGGGGGGGATTGGGAGTTGGGGGGTGGAAGGCAGGGCTAAATTGAGTCAGGGGGGTGGGATTGGCAACAGCAGAGATCGGGAGGGGCGGAGTAGTCGGGAGAGGGTAGGCCTGCATGGGGAAGGGGGTGGGGGGGGGGGGGGGGGGGGGGTGGGTAGGGGAGGGCGGAGTGCCGAGCGGGTGGCGTGGGGGGAAAGCGGTGAGAGGAGGGACACAAGGGGGAGGGGAGCGGGATGGGGGTGGAGTGGAATGGTTGGGAAGGGGAAGGGTGGTGGGGAGCGGGGAAAGGTAGGGGAGGAGGATGGAGTGGAATGGTTGGGAAGGGGAAGGGTGGAGGGCGGCCAGGGGAAGGGGTTGGTGGTGGGAGGTTAGGGGCGGAAGGCAAGGCCAAGTGGAGAGGTGGAGTGGAATGGTTGGGAAGGGGAAGGGGGAAGAGGTTGCGGTGAGGGCAGGGAGGGTCTTCACTGACGCCGCCCCGCTGTTGCTGGGGTCGGCGGATAACTACCCATTCTCCTTCAAGTCACTTAGGTGAGAGCGTGTTGAATGATGCCGTCTCCATCGTTCTCTTCAAGTCGCAACTGGGCTGTCTTTGAGTGGGTGTCCGGCCTCTCAGCCCCTGTGACCGACCTCAAGCTTCGAAATCTTTAAGAGGGACTCCGGGTTTAGGGTTTAGGGTTTAGGGTTTAGGGTTTAGGGTTTAGGGTTTAGGGTTTAGGGTTTAGGGTTTAGGGTTTAGGGTTTAGGGTTTAGCACTTTAGAGCCCCGGTCCCTTCAAAGACTGTGTAGGGTACCTAGCTTTGTTTTGCTCCGAAGTTTCTCTACCACCAACTTGCAGGTCCACCGCCTTCCGAAGTCACCCCGATGGTTTGGCGTTTACCCTGAACCCTAAAAGCGAATCTTACTGTTGGTTAGCAGGGAATGAGGGAATTCGGACCCTATATCCCCCTGTATATATATATATATAATGTATATATATATATACCCTTTAAGGGATTACATAGGGTACCTCATTCCCCCACTCCCTACCAACAGTAAGTAGTCTGTCCAGGTTTTCCAAAGCGATTGGGCAAGAGGAGAAGAATGTGGCAGCGAGCATCTTAGGTGGCTCAGCTGCGGCGTGCGTTTTTGGGGCTGGGGGGGGGGGTGTTAGGGTTTAGGGTTTAGGGCTTAGGGTTCAGGAATTGGGGCTTAGGCTTTAGGGTTGGAGAAATAACCCCCATTAAGGCACCAGGAAAGGGCGTTCGGGCCCACATTCCCCCAAACATAGCGAGCCCAAATAAGCCCGTTTAGAAGCCTTAAGAAGGGAATGGAGGAAACGTGGCCTCCGGTGCCTTTTGATTCTTGGACCGGATACCCTGAACCCTGAAACCGTAAACCCTACAAACGCCAAACCCTGAACCCTGAAACCCTAAACCCTAAGCCACACAGCTTTCATCCCTGAGCCTGGTCCCCTCCCACCTCCAACCATTTTTGGCTTTGTTGCCTTAGACTTGTTTTCAAAACCCTAAACCTAAACCCCTATAAACCCACTAAGCCCAGAGATTAAGGTTGCGTCAACGCAGAGATTAAGGTTCCTTGGGGTTTAGGGTTTTGGGTTTCGGGCTTAGGGCGTAGCGTTCCCCCTCCTCCTACTCCTGAGCTTCCCCTGAGCTTCCCCCCTCAAGAACCCCGCCCTCCCCCCCCCCCCCTCCCCTTCCCTTCCCCCTCCCCCCCACGGCAAATGCACAGCTGCGGATTTTGCAGAGAGCGCTCGATGCCACAAGAGGCTTTCGTTTCTCATTGATTTTACATGTGATTGCCCAGTGATTTTGTGGCTTTCTTATGACTTTTATGTGTTGTGGGCCACAGAATTCCCTAAACCAGGAGCTTGTATAAATCAATTTACTTCGTTTCTGCAACATTGATTGTTTCATATGTGGTTACACAGAGATTTCATAGCTTTCTCCGGATGATTAGGTGTTCCGGGCCACAGAATTCCCTTCACCAGGAGCTTTTCTGCAACACTAATTAATTTTATATGTAGTTGCCTAGTGATTTCGTGGTTTCCTCATGACTATTATGTGTTGTGGGCCGCAGAATTCCCTACACCAGGAGCTTTGTACAAGCAATATTTACTTCGTTTCTGCAACATTGATTGCTTTCATATGTGATTGCGCGATGATTTCGTGGTTTTCTCATGATTTTTATCTCTTACCTTTGGGAAAACTCAAAATTAGACAGGCGCACCCTGAGGGGGTCGCCAAACTCTGCAGCCATGCGCATGAGCCAGAACGGCCTCCGGTTGCAATATCCACCAACATGCAAGGCACTGGTTTTGCTATCCGCGTTCTCAGGCCTCCTCAGTTGTGACAACCACTTTCATGGTTTTGGTTTCCTCCAACTGGTTGTGTTATCCTTAATCTCCCCCCCTCTCCCTTAAGAACCCTATCTCAAGAACCCTAAACTCTCCCTTAAGAACCCTTTAATTAGGCACCTGCTGAAACCTCTCCCCCCCCCCCCCCCTTCAAGTGAGGCATGGCTTGTGACTTCGTTATCACCTTCATCGGCTCTGCGGCCCTTTGCATCATTGAGAGCGGCTGTCGGGTTTAGGGGTTTAGGGGTTTAAGAGGGTTTAGGGTTTTTTTTGTGAGTTCCGGGGGAGTTAGGGGATGGAGCTTGGTTTCAAAGGATTTCCGAAATTCTTCCTCTTCAGCTTTCCTCGAAGTCCGTTTGAAACCAAAAGGTCAGCATACACTCGGCTAGCAAGTGTTGGGTTTCGCGCTTGCCAATGCCCAGCTCGGATTTCCAGCTATACCCTTTTTCCTCGGTGTAGGGTTGAGAGAACCGTAAACCATCAAACAGAAATCAAGGGCCTCCTATTTCATGTTCTGTTTGCCGGGTGTCACCCCGTCTGGCGCTCTCAGCCCCCAAAGAATAGAGCCTAAACCCTGGACCCCAAACCCCAAAACCTGAACCCCTCCATAGATCCTGCAGCCTACTTGGAGGTTCATGGGCAGTCGTAATAAGTGGGGTTAGAAGTAAGGTAACTACAGTTATAACTGGTTTTCGCCTTCTTTAGGGTACTTGTAACCAATCCTGCTTATCACTTCCCATGAGCCTCCAAGTACGCCAGGTAAGCCCTGGGGAGGCGGTATTGTTTATCTACTGGGGTCTGGGGCTTAGGGATGTTTATGTTTTAGGGCTTACAAAGCCAACAGAACCAGAAGGGTTGCAGACTGGGTTCTTGTGTCAGAACCCAAATCAAGTTCTCAGAACAAGGAAACCTTGTTCCTTACCCATATGTATATATCCTTCCTCTGGTAACTCAGTTTGAGTTCCTGACCAGGTAGGACCTTGGGAAATTGTTTTCTTTCCCCGTATTTGGTTTAAGAGGCTGACATTTTTGAATGTCTTCAGAGGAAACAATAGAATATCAAGAAAAAGAAAATTAGGACAATTAGTAAACGGGGGTTCCTCCAGGGCCAACCCCGCTTAACAAGTACTCAACAGAGGGGTGGCTTTGTCACATTTGCCCTAAACCCCAACCCTAAACCCTAAGGCCTACAACCCAACATCCTAAAGAAGCTCCTTTCACGCTGGAGACTCACTTCTGTGAGGTCATCGGTGCTGGTTTGGGCTGCTTTTCCGCGCTGCTGTTTAAGCCCGGCCCTCGGTAGGGATTAGGGATTTTGGTTTTTTGGGTTTAGCATTCAGGGCTTACAGGGATTTAGGCAGATGTGGCACAACCTTAGGGTCCGTTTTCTTTTCGGACATCGGGTTTACGGCCCTTTTTGTTGTTAGGTTTTTTAGGGTTGTGCATTTAGGGTTCGGGATTTAGTGCTGGAGGCAGTGCGGGGGCAGCCCAAAGGGTTGAGTGTGTGTTTTTCCCCCCCCCCCTTTTTTAGGGTTTAGCGTTTAGGGTCTTGGAATTAGTGTTGGGGGGGCAGCCCAAAGTATCACCGACTGTAGGCTTGGGGATTCCAACACAAGATCATTGAACCCCTCGAGGCGAGACGAGACCTCTAATGGCGCAAGTTGTTGCAGTTCAGGGGTTTGGGCCAGGCCTAAACCCTAAACCCTAAACCCTAAACCCTAAACCCTGAGATTGTACAGGATATGCATGAACCTCGACATGTGGGTACGAATTCACGCCCCTGAACAACCGCTGCTGCAGTTTGAACTTCTTCATGGCCTCAAAGGAGAAGCCGAAACCTGGGTTTTGGAATACACTGCTTTAACACTTTTTTCGGTTCTGGGTTCCCACCACAGCTGCTTATACCTAAAAAGTACATACTTGTTTTTTTCCAGGGTCTACTCCAAAGTAGGGCTTTACAGCTGGAAGCTTGACTGCGGGCTCTAGAAGGCAGCACTTGCAGAGCCTCTTGATGGGTCGGTGCGTTGAGGAGGCATTCATGTACGCACATGACTATTCACTCACTCATAAGAAAAGCATGAGGTCCAAAGGTCTGACATCCCGTACGGAATCAGCAAGCCACAGAACCCTGATAAAGGCCGCAAGCGGGTGCTTGCTGCAAACGTCCGCATTGGGGCAGATGAAGTGCTATGGCGTAGAAACGTTTGATAGTCTAAGGGTAGTTTCATGCGCCCTTAACATGATCCCTCAGCTCCTTTAAATGGTTCTGACGTATGGGCCCCGCATTTGTACAGGGTATGTAAGGGGCGCCCTTTAAGGCACCATAATAAGGCTTTAAGGGACCATGTAGCTACCCGAAGAGATAGAGGGGTGGTCGTTTCGGGCCCGTGCGCATTTTGGGTCCAAATCGCGCTCTCGCCTAGGCGCGCATTGCTTGAGTCAGGGCCGCCGCACTTCCTGCAAGATGAGATGAGCTAGGAGGCTTGCATGCGCTTCCATGATGCCACCTTTGTTCACCCTGTAGAGTAACCTTTGTACCCGAAATCAACCTGCCTTAGATATCCGTTGCATGTGCCCTTTTGATTTGGTGCAGGGTTGCTCAAGGCACATGCTTGATGGCCTGATTGTCACGCGGTGCGCGAGTATTCCGTCCATCCCTGCTCTTTCTCGCACAGCTTGGAAACATCGGCACGGCCGCGACTGCCCATGTTGCCATGTCGCAAGCGGAACCAGACGGTCGGCCTTTCTTGATAGGTAGGTCCGCGCCCACTGAACCCTAAACGCTAGACCGACAAGCCCAAGTCACTTGAACTCGCTAGATTGTGCACAAGCAACACCTATAAAATATATATCACATAGAGAGGGCCTTCATTCCCTTTCTTCAGAGGTTGGGTTCACTCATAAACCTTGTTGAACCCCCAAATAGGCACAATACACTTTGTCTTGCCGGGAGTCCGAAAAAAGCCACTCTTGGAACAAACCCCGGATCGCAAGATTCAGCCACTCCGTCGCAGTACTCTTGAACCGGAAGCCCTTCAAACCTCATGGTTCTTAGCAAGGGATTTAGGTTCCTTATTAGGTCCGCTTATGTGACCCTCTTAAGGGGCTTTGGGTTTGTTTTAGTTTTAGGGGTTTGGGTTTCGGGTTTTGGGTTGTGGGTGTGGGGTTTGGTTGGGGGAAGGAAGTGGAATAGCTGCTGCAGGCATGCAGGCTTGTCAAGCCACACCGAGCTACATGGCCCAAAGTTGGAGCTGTCCATTTTTCTTGTGCCATGTCCGCAGTGAGCGCTTACCACTACTGATTTCTTAAGAACTTCCAAAAAATGCGAGATCCTCTTCCTTATACGGGCAATATGGTTTTTTTTGGGGGGGATTCTTTTTTGGCAATAGTAGACCAAGATAGGCTTAGACAATGGGACTTCGTGTTCAGAAGGTTGAGACTTTGGGATATTCCCGTTACTATCAGTCTTGAAAAGGTATGAAAGAAATCCCTTCATTGTAATGCGCCTATTAAGGACTGTTAGTATAAGGGCAACATCCCAATTGAGACTCCACAAAGCCCACCCCAAACACCTGGCCAAGCCTCGATTGCAGGGTCACAAATGTTCCCCTTTATACTAGCAGTCCTTACTAGGGATTCTAATCGGGGGTACTACAATCCCTAGGACAGACTGTCAGTAGAAGGGGGAACAGCCCAACCAAAACCTTGTGACTGGCCATCACAAGTGCTGGGATTGTCGAAGAGGTTGCCTGAAGAGTGGGCCCATAGAAGCGCTGGAAGAAGAGTCTTTTGGGTACCAGCGTAGCGGTTGGGGAGTATCTGGGGTTCATTGGCAAATTGTTCTTTCTTGCTAAGAAAGCACCATCGTGCTGCATAATCTTGGGTTTCGGCATCCCACCCAATGACCTCGCATGCCTTGACCACAGGGCCTTTCAAGAGTCACGGCAGCCCTACTGCATATCCCTCTGAACCCTAAATGTTAAACTCCCCAAGCCCTCCTCAAACAACAAAGTTCTGGATTCTGACACCCCAAACCCTACACCCTAAACACTGAACCCTATCCCACAACCCCAGACAATCCCAAAACCAGCCGAGCCAGAAGTCCTCCGGGCCCGGACAGAATGTGGTCTTTAGCTAAGGAAGTAAGCCCAACACTGGGTTCTTCTTGTGAACTAAGGAAGACACCGTTCAGTACAATTGCAAACTCCAAGTTCACTTTCAGGGTGTCCGCAGTGCTATAAACGAAGTTGAAGATGGTTGAGGTTTCGGGTTTAGAGTCTAGGGTGTGTAGAATTGTGCCCCCTAAACCCTATACCCTAAACCCGAAACCCGAAACCCCCAAACCCTAAACCCTACACCCCGCATTTTGGGAAGGTCTTTTGCTATGCCCCTTTCCTCCTTGCGGACGGCCTCCGCCTCAGTGGCATTGTCGCCATCCTCTTCACCGGCCTTACCATGAAGAGGCCGCTTGAACTTGGAGTCTAGGGTTGGGCCACCTCATATTCACAGTCCTTAATGGGCATTATAGTGCCCCCTCTTAGAATCCCTATTGAGGACTGCGAGTAGAAGGGGTTCAGTGTTTAGGGCTTCGGGGCGCAATGGGAAGTGGAATCCCTGTACCCTAGACCCTAAACCCTAAACCCTAAACACAAAACCCAAAACCCTAAACCCTAAACCCTCCTAGACTTGCAGAAAGAACCGGCCCTTCTCGCGGGGTTCCGAAGCCTCCACCCAAGAGCTCACTCCCCTTGAGGCGGACGCGCGCTTTGCGTTTTTAGGTGTTTGGGGATTTCGAGGGTTTAGGGTTTAGGGTTTAGGGTTTAGGGTTTAGGGTTTAGGGTTTAGGGTTTAAGGTTTGGGGTCTTTAGGGAGTTGAACTGCTTTCTGTGCTTTCGGATAGCTGGGCCAGGGCACCCCTGCAAGGTACACCTACTTCAACCTCTCCGAGCCTGCGCGCGAGACGGTGGCCACAGTGGTGTCGCTGATGGCCAGCTGCGCGGAGCGCCGCGGCTGCAGCTTCAGAGCCGAAACCCCAAGGCCTGAACCCGAAACCCTGAACCCTAAACCCTAAACCCTAAACCCTGAACCCCTGAACCCTTGAACCTGTCCCCTAAACCTTACCCCCGCCCCCCTCCCTCAACACCAGCCCTACACCCTTTGCTGGAGACTAGGAGTTCAGGGTTCAGGGCTTCCTGAACCTTCTGAGCCCTGCGGCCTCACAACCCTCGAGTTTCGAATGGCACTGTATTGTTTATATCGTTTCCCATTACAAAAATGCAGTCCACCCGTCTAGCACTACAGATACGCGAGTTTTCAAGGGGAGGTGTGGGGTTAGTAGTTGAAAGTAACAGAAGAGCCAACACAAGCATGGATCCGGGTAGCATAGCTGAATATATGTATGCATACATGTATATATATATATATATAGATCGATCTACACACATACGTACGTACGTACGTACATACACATCAATATAAATAAATATATATATATATATATAGATATTATATATATATATAATATTATATATTACCCTCCCCCACCCCACCCCCCCCCCCACCCTGCCCCACCCCCCCCCCCCCTGCCCCCACCCCCACCCCCCACCCCCCCACCCCCACCCCCCCACCCCCCCCCCCCACCCCCTCCCCCCCCCCCCCCCACCCCCCTCCACGAGAACCAAGATTGCTCCCTGCAATCTTGGTTCTTGGTTCTTGGTTCCACGGGGCCCGGGCCGGTACAACTTGTACCGACTTGTACCGGTGTGTATCGGTCTCTATGTTGTCGAAACACACAGAGGCAATATACCAGATAGAAAGAACATATAAATCAACACGCTGGGGCAGAGAAAACGAAGCACGAACACAAACAACACACAGTGCTAGGAGGCAGACAAGAAAAACACAAAATAAGCAGAGAAGGTGTGGATAACTGGGGGGGGGTACCATACATACATACATACATACATATATATATATATATATGTATGTATACATGTATATGTATATGCGTCTATAGCACATGCGTATATTGCAACATGGAGCCCCCCCATCCCCCACCCCAGAAAAGGACTCTCATCTTCATCGACCTGGGGACCTCTGCATGGGGGAATCTCCTGGTCGATGTCACGCAGGGGAACCAAGCTTTCAAGCGGCTTTCAGGGGCTCAGAGTTTAGGGTTTAGGGTTTCGGGGGTAAGTTTAGGGTTTCGGGTTTAAGGGGGTTAGGGGGCTTAAGGGGGTTGAATCAGAGGGCGTGTTAACAGGGTTTAGGGGTATAGAGGGCTTAGGGGGCTAAACCCTAAACCCTAAACCCTAAACTAGGTTTTGAAGGGTCTTGGTGGTTTGCGGGTGCTTAGGGCCTGAGAGCGGCTCCCGGCAGTGGCGAGGGGGGGGGGGGGGGGGGTTACTGTAGGGTTTAGGGTTTAGTGTTTCGGGTTTCGGGTTTAGGGTTTCGGGTTTCGGGTTCGGCCTGTCGACACACCTTTGGAGGAGGACCTGGCTTGGTAGCCCAGTGGTACGCTTTACTTTATATATATATATGTATATATTGTCTTCATTTACTTATTTATTACTATTATTATTTTTATTGTTTTTTTTTTTTTTTTTTTGGGGGGGGGGGGGGTTCTGGGCTCCCTTTTAAAGCAACCAACCCCCAAAACGGGTGACCTTCTTAGAAGCTGATTACTGGGCTACCAAGACGGGATTCTCGCATCTCAACGTCAGAGGCTTGATAGAGAGACCCGGCAACGATTTGGTTTAGGGTTTAGGGTTTATAGGGTTTAGGGCTTAGGGTTTAGGGCTTCCTTGAACGTCGCTAGGACAGCGGCGGGGACAGGGAGAAACTTTTTAGGTCCGAGAGCTTAGGAAGAACTAAAACCTTAAACCCTGAGCCCTAAACTCTAAACCACTGACTGAGCGCCTGTCCAGGCTCTTGAGCTGGGTGCTCGTCGCCTGCCTCGTTGCACGTGCGGCGAACGTCTACGTGTCAGGCTGGCTTCTGTGCCTGAGCCAAACTAGAACCCAGATTGTGCCCTTATTAATATTCCCCCCTTTTTGGGGTTCAGGTTCCCTCACAACCCCAAACCCTGAACCCTGAACCCTGAACCCTGAACCCTGAACCTTGAACCCTGAACCCTGAACCTATCCAGGGCCCCGAAGTCGAGTTGCCAACAGCAAGCTGGGATGCTTCATCTGCCGGGGGCGGGCCTATTTGCTGTGAGGCCTAGATCCTACATGCACAACTTCGGAGTTTAGGGTTTAGGGCTACAACTGTGACCCCTTTTGGTAGCCTAATCATTTTATCTGTTGCTCTTGTTTTTGTTAATTCTGTTTGTTTTTTTTTCGGAGGGGGGGGGGGGGGGGGGGGGGGAGTGCGGTCTGGGGGAGGTTATTCAACTTCCCTTCAAAGCCACCGGCATCGGTCTTTGGGGCAGGGGGGGGGGGGGGGGGTGGGGGGGGGTGGGGGGGTGGGGGGGGGGAGGGGGGGGGGGGGGGGGGGGGGGGGTGTGGGGGGGGGGGGGGGGGGGGGGTGGGGGGGGGGGGGGGGGGGGGGGGGGGGGGGGGGGGGGGGGGGGGAAGGTCATTTGCAGTGCGTTTGAATCACCCAAGACCTTCAACCCTGCACCCTAGACCCTGTAAACCCCAAATCCCGAAACACGGGAGCAAAATGGATCCAAAAGCCTGAGCCCTGAATGTGGGTTTAGGGTTTAAGGTTTCTGTGGTGTAAACGAAAGAGAGGTCTGAGGTCCAAGAACTTTGTCGGTTCCAGAATCGGGTTTCGAGTTTAAACCCTAAACCCTGGAACCCCAAAGGTGTTGTAGGTTTACAAAGCATGTGTAGAGTTTATGGTTTCGAGTTTTTCAAGTCTAGGTCTTGAGGGTTTGAGGGTCTTAAGGGGTCTCAAGGGTTCTGAATGTCAACCCTAAACCCAAAAGCCAGAGAGTTGAGGGTGAGCCCTAAACCCTAAACCCTAAACCCTAAAGCCCAACTCCCGAGGAATGCACGTGAGCCGAGCTACCCGCGCCGGCGCTTCGAAGCCAATGACATGCACATGGCAGCCAGGCTCAGGGTTGCGGTGCTTCGGGTTTATGGTTTGGGGTTTAGGGTTTAAGGTTTAGGGTTTAGGGTTTACGGTTTAGGGTGTAGGGAGTGTTGTTTTCGGGCTTGGTTAGAGACATACCTATATTATTATCAACACACACACACATATATATATATATGTAAGAGGAACCTTTACGTATCATTTGACCTTTGTCCTTGCCTCCTTACTCCAATATGAAGAATTAGAAATTTAGGAATTCAGGCCTTAAGCCGAAACTCCTAAATTACTAATTCCTTGAAATTAGGAATTAATGAATTTAGGAGTTTCGGCTTAAGGCCCGAATTCCTAAATTCCTAAATTCCTGATTCCCCGGAATTAGGAATTGAGGAATTTAGAATTTCGGCTGAAGGCCTGAATTCCTAAATTCCTCAATTCCTAGTTCCCGGGAATTAGGAATTTAGGAATTTCGGCTCAAGGCAAAAACTCCTAAATTCCTCAATTCCTAATTCCAGCGGGCCAGAAACCCAGAGGAATTAGAACTTCTGAAATTCCTTGAATTCCTTAAATTTCTAAATTCCTAATTCCCGGGAATTAGAAATTTGGGAGTTTTGGCCTTGAGCCAAAATTCCTAAATTCCTAATTCCCGGGAATTAGGAATTTAGGAATTTAAGGAATTCAAGGAATTTCAGAAGTTCTAATTCCTCTGGGTTTCCGGCCCGCTGGAATTAGGAATTTAGGAATTTAGGAGTTTTGGGCTGTAGCCGAAATTCCTAAATTCCTAAATTCCTAATTTCCGGGAATTAGGAATTTAGGAATTTAGGAGTTTTGGCCTGTAGCCGAAATTCTTAAATTCCTAAATTCTTAATTCCAGCGGGCCAGAAACCCAGAGGAATTAGAACTTCTGAAATTCCTTGAATTCCTTGAATTCCTAAATTCCTAATTCCCGGAAATTCGGAAATTAGGAATTTAGGAGTTTTGGCCTTGAGCCGAAATTCCTAAATCCCTAAATTCCTAATTCCCGGGAATTAGGAATTTAAGAATTCAAGGAAAGCGGGCCAGAAACCCAGAGGAATTAGAACTTCTGAAATTCTTTGAATTCCTTAAATTCCTAAATTCCTAATTCCCGGAAATTAGGAATTTAGGAATTTAGGAATTTAGGAGTTTCGGCTAAAGGCCGAAAATCATAAATTCCTAAATTCCTAATTCCAGCGGGCCGGAAACCCAGAGGAATTAGAACTTCTAAAATTCCTTGAATTCCTTAAATTCCTAAATTCCTAATTCCCGGGAATTAGGAATTTAGGAATTTCGGCTACAGGCCAAAACTCCTAAATTCCTAAATTCCTACTTCCAGCGGGCCGGAAACCCAAAGGAATTAGAACTTCTGAAATTCCTTGAATTCCTTAAATTCCTAAATTCCTAATTCCCGGGAATTAGGAATTTAGGAATTTACGAGTTTTGGCCTTGAGCCGGAATTCCTAAATTCTCAAATTCCTAATTCCCGGGAATTAGGAATTTAGAAATTTAAGGAACTCAAGGAATTTCAGAAGTTCTAATTCTTCCCGGGTTCCGGCCCGCTGGAAGTAGGAATTTAGGAATTTAGGAGTTTTGGGCCTGTAGCCGAAATTCCCTAAATTCCTAAATTCCTAATTCCCGGGAATTAGGAATTTAGGAATTTAAGGAATTCAAGGAATTTCAGAAGTTCTAATTCTTCTGGGTTTCCGGCCCGCTGGAATTAGGAATTAGGAATTTAAGGAATTCAAGGAATTTCAGAAGTTCTAATTCCTCTGGGTTTCCGGCCCGCTGGAATTAGGAATTTAGGAATTTAGGAGTTTTGGCCTGTAGCCGAAATTGCTAAATCCCTAAATTCCTAATTCCCGGGAATTAGGAATTTAGAAATTTAAGAGTTTTGGGCTGTAGCTGAAATTCCTAATTTCCTAATATTGCTAATTCCAGCGGGCCGGAAACCCAGAGGAATTAGAACTTCTGAAATTCCTTGAATTCCTTAAATTCCTAAATTCCTAATTCCCGGAAATTAGGAATTTTGGAATTTAGGAATTTGAGCCTTCACCCGAAATTCCTAAATTCCTAAATTCCTAATTCCCGGGAATTAGGAATTTACAAATTTAAGGAATTCAAGGAATTTCCCAAGTTCTAATTCTTCTGGGTTTCCGGCCCGCTGGAATTAGGAATTTAGGAATTTAGGAGTTTTGGGCCTGTAGCCGAAATTCCTAAATTCCTAAATTCCCAAATTCCTAATTTCCGGGAATTGGGAGTTTAGGAATTTAAGGAATTCAAGGAATTTCAGAAGTTCTAATTCCTCTGGGTTTCCGGCCCGCTGGAATTAGGAATTTAGGAATTTAGGAGTTTTGGCCTGTAGCCGAAATTCCTAAATTCCTAAATTCCTAATCCCGGGAATTAGGAATTTAGAAATTTAAGAGTTTTGGGCTGTAGCTGAAATTCCTAAATTCCTAAATTGCTAATTCCAGCGGGCCGGAAACCCAGAGGAATTAGAACTTCTGAAATTCCTTGAATTCCTTAAATGCCTAAATTCCTAATTCCCGGAAATTAGGAATTTAGGAATTTAGGAATTTTAGCCTTCAGCCGAAATTCCTAAATTCCTAAATTCCTAATTCCCGAAAATTAGGAATTTAGAAATTTAAGGAATTCAAGGAATTTCAGAAGTTCTAATTCTTCTGGGTTTCCGGCCCGCTGGAATTATGAATTTAGGAATTTGATCTACGCCCCACTTTTGTTGTAAGAAACAGCCCCGCGTAGATCCAGGCAGATTTTGTCCATGGTGTTTTCTCAAAAAACACGAAGGACATAATCTGCCTGGGTCTGCGCGCCACTTTTTTGTAAGAAACAGCGCCGCGTAGATCCAGGCAGATTTTGTCCATGGTGTTTTTTCAAATAGATCCAGGCATATTTTTGTCTTTGGTGTTTTCTCAAAAAAACGACGGACAAAATCTGCCTGGATCTACGCGCCACGGTTTTTGTAAGAATACAGCCCTGCGTGGAATCCTGGGACGACCTTTCCCCCCCCCCCCAGGATGTAAACTATTCAAAATATTCAACCTATCTAAATTATTTAAGTTCTTTAAACTCGGGCGGAAACTGAATAATTAAAAATTAAATATTTTAAGTCGTGGGGAGGGCCTTGGAGAGGGAGGCACAATTTATAAAATTTAAAGAAATTATATATGTGGGGAACACAGTTATTTAAATTATTTGAATTAGAGGGAATTTATGTAAAAATTCAAATAATTTACAGAATTTGAATCCTGGGGAGCCCAGTTATTCAAATTATTTAAACGATTCAAATTCGGGTGGAGATGCCCGTTAAATCAATTTTGAAAGCAAGAGGTTTTTGTTAAGTTTTTAAGGGTAGTAAGAGATTTTACAAATTGATGAGGACAGTGTCCTTCCGAGTCCTTACCCAGAATACTTGTTTCTTTGCAATTTTCAAGGGTTTTAAAAGAATGCAAGGGGCCTTTTCAAATCTTAAGGGGCCTCTGCGGCATATCGGTTAAGTATCAACAATCTTCGCGTGAAAAAATCCTCCGAGTTGTTTCTCCTGAAAAGAACGGGAAAAATACCCTCAAATTCGGCTGGAGTCCCTTGAGTTTAGGCCTGACTCCCTTGAAATTCTTGGACATCATCTTTTTTCCTTCCCGTTCCCCTGATGTTTTGTCCAAGGGAAGCGTTGTTTTCACCCTGGAATCTCCCAGGTGCTCGAGTGCTTAAGCGAAACGAATATGCTTTGGTCCGGACCCTTAGACGAATAAGGTTTAGGAATAGGGTTAGGCTTAAGCATTAAACGAACAAGCTTCAGCCATAAGGCTCGCGCCCCTCCCCCCCTCCCCCCCTCTCCCGCAACCTCGTCGTGCCCAAGTGCGTGGTTTAGGAATCTCGAATTCATAGACCTCAGTGTCCGGCGCAAAACCTCAAACAAAGAAGGTTCATGCACACGTTTTGGCCTGCAACGTTAAAAGAATAGGTTTAGGAACAAACAAATTGGAATGGACAGCGTCCTTCCGAGTCCTTCCCCAGAATATTTGTTTCTTTGCAATTTTCAAGGGTTTTTAAAGAATGCAAGGGGCCTTTTTTAAATCTTAAGTGGCCTCTGTGGCATATTCGTTAAGTATCAACAATCTTCGCATGAAAAAAATCCTCCGACTTGTTTCCCCTGAAGAAACGGAAAAAACACCCTCAAACTCGGCTGGAGTCTCTTGAGTTTCGGCCTGATTCCCTTGAAATTCTTGGACATCCTCTTTTTCCCCTCGATTTTGAAGAAGCCCCTTGAGTTTTTTGCCGCTTCGATTCCCGTTCCCCTGATGTTTTGTCCAAGGGAAGCGTTTTTTTTTTCACTCTGAAATCTCCCAGGCGCTCGATGCTTAAGCGAAACGAATATGCTTTGGTCCGGACCCTTAGACGAATAAGGTTTAGGAATAGGGTTAGGCTTAAGCATTAAACGAACAAGCTTCAGCCATAAGGCTCGCGCCCCTCCCCCCTTCTCCCGCAACCTCGTCGTGCCCAAGTGCGTGGTTTAGGAATCTCGAATTCATAGACCTCAGTGTCCGGCGCAAAGCCTCAAACAAAGAAGGTTCATGCACACGTTTTGGCCTGAAACGTTAAAAGAATAGGTATATTACGGTATATTTGTTTCTTTGCAATTTTCAAGGGTTTTAAAAGAATGCAAGGGGCCTTTTCAAATCTTAAGTGGCCTCTGTGGCATATTCGTTAAGTATCAACAATCTTCGCATGAAAAACATCCTCCGACTTGTTTCTCCTGAAGAAAAGGAAAAAATACCCTCAAACTCGGCTGGAGTCTCTTGAGTTTCGGCCTGATTCCCTTGAAATTCTTGGACATCCTCTTCTTCCCCTCGATTTTGAAGAAGCCCCTTGAGTTTTTTGCCGCTTCGATTCCCGTTCCCCTGATGTTTTGTCCAAGGGAAGCGTTTTTTTTCACTCTGAAATCTCCCAGGCGCTCGATTGCTTAAGCGAAACGAATA